AACTCATCGGCAAATCCCTAAAAAGCGATATATATACTCTTTATATAGTCTCTTCACCGAAATCGAAGGAGATTACCTCAGAAGCAGCGTCAGCATGAATGTTCCAGTAAAGCCAATCGACAGCTAGTCATGAGGAATGCGCCGTCGTCTTCTGGCGGAACCGACCTTCGAATCTCTTCAGCTAACACTTTCACTCGAAATGGAAGTAAGCTTAACAACTCTCAACTTTATTCCCAATTTTAGAGAGCGTAGTTATTGCTCTCGGTTTCGCCTCTCTACAAAGGCAGTTACCATGACTGTATGAATTCTCCTTGAGAAGGTGGATTATTTTTGCATTGGCTCGCTAAATAACGTAACTCTATGTATTTATAGCCCATTGATGAAGAAGGGATGTCAACTTCCTCCGCGGGTTTCTAAGGCTTACTTTCAGCGCTATGGTATTGTGTGCACAGATCAAAAATGTAAGATGAGTAGAAGGATTCATAAAGCATAATTCCAAGAAGCGGAAGCTGGCGGCCAGCAATAATCGCGGCAGTGACGAAGATCGGATCTTTTGCTATTTCTATTGATGGATCCCAGTTGTCTGAGCCTAAACAAAGAGAAGGTAGTTAGTAAGTTTTTGGCGAAATTGATTCATTTTTTATGAAAAAGGGTCCATTTTATCTTGTATTAAAAGAGCAAATGGATGCGAATAAGAATACGCTTAAAATTTATAAATGACTAATGGGTAATAAAGTGTAGCCATGGTAATTGAGGACTGATTGCCTAAGCAGTTAAGTTCACAAAAATAATAACTCTGTAATATGGTAAATATAATTAAAGAATGCAGGCTATGCAGAGAGAAGTTATTCCTGAGCGGGAGGAGCGAGGAGCCATGCTAGTTGGGCAGGGATAGTCATAAGTGAAGAGGAGGTATAACAACAAGTGATAGCCTCCTAAGGCTTCTGAGCTAAAGCCGTTTTTCATTAACAAAGGTGGACGTTAATAAGTTTTTGCATTAAGGCATATAGTCAAAACCATGTTTAAACAAACATCAGAAGAATACTAACCTTTACTAAACTACATGACTGCTGGTAGCTGAGTGTGCTGAATTACGTTTATGCATGTACGTGTGTGCATGTCTTAGCGAGTGTGTAGAACCTTCATAAACATCGGTAATTGCCAAGGCACCAGAGTTTGAGTTATCGTTGACAGAGGGGGTTCTTCATAAATAAGCTTAGTGAGGGTATTCAATATAGAGACGCCATTCAATCCCCGGTCAACATTACTCAAAAGAGGTAGATATTTTATTGTTGTGCCAAAAGATGTAATAATATCAATAAGAACAGGAATAAATCGACACATGAGGGCTTGTAAAATACAAAATATAATGTGTTAAATAAAAATTGCATATAAATAAATAACATATTTAAATAAATTTAGAAGCAATTAAACAGTTGCATCTTTTAAAGCCCTAAGTTACAAGGAGAGGGAATCCAAATATTATAAGCGTTTACCTAAAAAGATCACTCTTTGCTAATAAAATTGACGGTGAAGCTAGAAAGCAGGTTTCAAATTGATTGGCTTTTAATGCTACCAGTTGATTTTAAATAATGACTGAATCCACATCGGTTCGCATACGATGATTAGGAGCAAATAGTTGAATTTTCCCACAATAAAAGGAGCAGTACCATTGAAGTTCAATTAGCCTTGCTTCAATTTACTCATATTATTGTGGGAAATTGCAACTATTAATGAGAATGAGAAAAGTTGCATCGGCATTAAACTTTGTAGGTGGTCTGTAGCTTGTGCTTCAATCAAGCGATCTTGGTAAGCCTAACTTAACTGGTATCGGCCAAGCAAAAACCATATAGACCAAAAAGCTCACAGCCAATTCGTAGTCCATCTCCAAGGCAGGATAGGTCTCTTTGCGGCTGTTTGACCAAGAGGAAAAATGTATGCTTCACATTTTTTATAGCTACCAATTTGATACAACAGTTTACTGGGAAAATCG